TAGTATAAGATTTTTAATCGCGATATTTCTCCATATAATAATGGGTTGTATTTGTTATACAACTTTCGACAAGTCCCGTTTGCTCCAAAATCAAATTTTTCAAGGAAATACTTGTACAAGGTAAACTATTACTCGATAGATTATTTCTCTTATATTATCCTTTTTATTAAACACTATTTAATATTGACTACATTTTTCAAAGCTTAAATTTACTAATATTTAAAGAGTAATATTATAATATTATCTTTATTATTTATTATTTCTTAAAATATATATCAAATTAATAATAAACAATTATTATTGGACATAAAAATAATACAATTGATAAATTAGATTTTAGATTTTAGATTGTAGTTGATTTTTAAAATTATTAAATCTAAGGAACATAGTAAATACAATTTTATCTATGTTAGATTCTTTTAATAAAAGGGTAAAAAATGGAGAAACTACATAAATAGATCATAAAATTTAAAATATTATAAGTTCATACTCGATTTAAAGTAATTTCGGAAATAATTATAATAATTATTGCTCAAACACATTCATTAAGGCTTATAATTTTTGCTTAACTGATATTAAATCAACATATATATTAATTATCATTGAAACGAATAATTTTTATTTAATTAAAATTAAATCAGTATCATATATTATGTTGATATCATTAAAGACTCATAATTTTACTTGATTGTTACTAAATCAGCATACTATATAGATATCATTAAGTTTTTTGTTAAAAAATTACTCGTATAGTATATCCAATAATGTTAGCGAATAGTTACAATCTTTAAAGAAATTTAAACTCACTACAACTAATATTTTTAAGAATTTGATAGTAGTACTTCTTAACTTCCTTTCCTGAATATAACAACCTTAAAACAGAATAGAACTCAACAATTTTAGACAAAAATTGAACTCAAATCTCCACAAAAAGAACACTTTCGTTTAATTGATAAAAACTCTTTTTTTAAATAACTTTTTCCTCATCATATTTTTCTTTGCATCTCTTGATAGAGACTAACTTTTTCCTGTTTATATTTTTCTTGTTATCTCTTAAAGACGAATAATTTTTATTTAATTAATATTAAATTAGTATCATATATTATATTAATATTATTAAAATTAATTATTTTATTTAAGTGATACTAAATCAGTATACTATAGAATTAATTATTTTATTTAAGTGATACTAAATCAGTATACTATAGAAGAGGTCTATACCCATTGCCGTAGCTAAAAGGGTTCCCTTTCTTACTTGATTGAGACTGAGAGTCAGGGCAGCCAAAAAGAAGGCTTTCGTTAAGATAATTGTTCCCCAGTTAACTGGGGATCAAAAAGCACCAAATTTGATGACTTATTAAGGGAAAGACGAAGTAAGAGCATGCACGTCGTCCCATCCTCCTAACGATATATTGCATTCACGATGCGGAGCTGCCAACTAGCTGTGCATCACCTATTTATCGTTCTCGCTCGGGAGCCAAAACGAACACGCCTATAATTATCATTAAATTTTCCGTCAAAAAATAACGCGCACTCTTATATCCAATGATAGTAGTGAAAAATTACAATTTTTAAGGAAATTTAAATTCCCTACAACAAATGCTTTTACGAATTCGTTGATAGCACTTCTTAACTCCCTTTCCTGAAAAGAACCTTAAAAATAGTGTTATAACTCAATAAAACTGAACAAAACTTAAACTCAAAGCTTCAAAAAAAACACCTTCGTTCAATCAATTGATACAACTCTTTTTATCAACTCTTTCCTCTCTATATTTTTCTTTGCCTCTCTTGATAGAGATATTTTTCTTGTCATCTCTTTAATCAAATAATTAATTTATCACTATAGTTTAAAAATAGCGACAAATAGAAAGATAATAAAATAATAAAAATAAATGACCTAGAGATTAAATTAGATTATATAGAATGATCATGTGAAGCTTATACTAGGATAGTAAATAGTAGATAAATAACCTAGAGATTATATAGATCCTATAGAATAATAGTAATGGTCATGTGAAAGGTTTTCATTAATTGAACATTATAAACACAAACCCATATTTTACAGAAACAGCAGTAATTCATTTAACCACATGGTAACAAAGTAATTAAGCTATATACATACAATACTACTTCCATAGCACAACCTAGAGATTAGGATTGTTGTCGACTCCTTTCATTCATCCGGGCAGCTACGGTCACAGAAGCAGCTACTCCACCAGGAGTGGTGGACATGTCTTGTTTGTTCCGTAGCTCCGCCCCTACCACTCCTTCTGCATCCTGCCTTGTCGCTGCCTTATCCGCAGGCAATACCTTAGTAGCACCCTAAGTAAGTTAAAATTAACTTCAATTTCAATATATCTTTCAAATATATCAATGACACAATACTTCTAATCTTGTTGCATTGGGATATATTAAATATGTTACTAACCGATAAGACGTCTCCAAGCTTAACTTTGTCCTCGTCTTTTATCATAGATTCATTATACGCAGCAGCTGACTGAGCAGTGGCTGCTACGCCTCCAGGAGTGATAACATTGCTGCCTGTTGCGCGTACTTCAGCTGCTTGGATGGCTGCTGCGTCGCATTGATCCACTGGTTTGCCCGGTATGGTTTGTCCAGCCGCTTCAAGAGCTTCTCCTATAGTGATTTCTCTCCTACTACCTCCGGTGGTTGCTGCTCCTTGTGGCTGTCCTCCGACACCTCCTGTTGGCTGTATGTATTGTGCAACTACCTGTATATCATCAACAGGTATAGGATCTAACCGACGTCTCATTGCCAGAATTCAGAATTTTTACAGGCAGGATTTGAAAAACAAGACATTGTGCATCAAATTTGAACTGGAAATTTAGAGTGTTTTGAATTCCCTATGCCACTAATTAAATCGACCTCCAATCATCTGTTTAGGTGAAGATTTTGTTAAAGTTGTGAAGTCTGGATTAATATTTGATGGATAACCTCCGCGGTGAGATTGATGGATAACCTCCGCGGTGAGATTGCCGAGGAGTTATTATGAGCGGCGGGAGCCCCTCATACGAGGACAACGCCCCGCTTTACTATATATTTTCTGTAACCTTAAAAAACACTCCAAATTATTAACTTATTTACGGCGGAGGTGTTACCATAAAATATTAATTTCTCTCTCTTTATCTTGAGGAGATCTCTCTTAAAAGTTCTTATTTTCCTAGTTCATCACGTGTGTGTGATTCGATTCTAACACCATTTGGAACTATGGTTGTCGTAATTTGGCAACCTACTCAAATCGTTTCGTGTTTGCTATCATTTAATTTTGATGGAAAATAAGTGATATTTTAGATAATAAAGTTTGCGCGCAACACATAAATAGTAATTAATAATGAAACAACTTCTTACCTGTCCAGCAACTGATTCAGTAATAATATTAGCACCAGGAACGGCGGTCCCAGTAACCGTAACACCCTCTCTAGCAGCAACATCAGTAACATCACCCGGTTGAACCAAGCCGGCGCTCACGTTAACATTAGCAGCTGATTGCATTGCAGCCGCTGGACCGCTCTTTTGTGTTTTCCCGAGCACGGCGGTCTCAGCGCTCTGCATCATGGCTGCATCTTCCGGCTTAACAGCTTTTTCTCCTAGCTCACCAGAGACAGCAAAAACGTCGCCATATTTGATCGGATCGGCTGCTTGATCACCTTGTTCCCTTCTTGGTTGTTGTTGACTCATTTTTTTCTATTTTTTTGGTTAAAATTTAAAAAACACTTAGCTAGATGTGGGATATGGCTGGCTAGCTCGAGCTAGAGGAAAAAATGATTTATATAGATCTGTATGGAAAGAAGATTGAGGGATTGTTTGTTTGGATGGAGATGAGGGATTTTGTGACAAGTGGCTATTTGAACTAGTGTGGTGGCGTTAAACTAGAGATATGGCAAGCCACTTGTCAAACTACTACTACTATCATCTACATCCTGTGTCGTGAATCGAGTTAGATAACTCCGTAAGCGTATCTATGGACTACTAGACGTGGTAAATAAAAAACTCAATTGATATTTTTAGGTCGAAGAAAATATTGAAAAGTTTTAATTCAGATTAAATTTTTTTGTTAAAAAGGTTTAGGATTAGAAAAAGTTACGCAAATTATGTCAAAATTTTGATCATTACTAGTTATTTTTCATTCCATTTTTATTATTTTAGTATCTCATCCTCTTCTAGTTACCTTTTATATTGTTCGTATATTCTCCTTATATTAATGTGTTATTACTTTATTATGTGTATTTTAAGTTGTAACTTGTATCCAATGAAACTAAGCAAATGGAATTTTGATTTTTAAAAAAATTATATATTCGACGATAGATATACATATTTTTAAATTTATATATTCGATAATAAATATATATAACAATCCTTTGTATCGGAAATGGAAATCGGGTTTGACGCAGCTGGAGTGTGTGTTATTTTTAGGCATGGACCTATATGGGTGATTTCGACCGAATTTACTATATTTTTAGATTTTGTTTGAATAGTATGTTTTTATATAATAAATTTATGAAATATATGTACCTATTAAATTGAAAATCAAATTAAATCATTATTTTGATATTATAGAATTCCATACTCATAATTAAGTAATTTTATTATTATTATAGCTCGTTATCCACTGCGCTTGTATATTTTCTTCTATTGAATTCGTCTTTTAAGTTCATAGCTAATGTTATATCGACAATGATCTGGTTATGTCTCCGTTTTGTTTGAAGCTAATATTCGAAACTTTCTTCTTGAATATGGTTAATTTGAACCCTAATTTGCACCATAGAATTAGAATAACGTGACACCAGGGTGTATATGATAGGAAGGGAACATTTTGTAGTTGCGTCTTTTTATAATACGTTTTTAGTAAATAATTAAGAAATTATCTCAATTTATGCATACATATTAAAAAGTATGTGCTACAATAAATAGTGATCAAAGGTAATGACACTGAGATCATTCGTAGTTGTAATCGATTTTGTTCTTGCATTGGGTTGCCCTTGGTTTAAAAAACACAATTCTCTTATTTAGTAAAATATTATTTTCGGGTTGAGCATTATATTATTTATTTACATGATGCAGCAGCTAACCTTAACTAATTTATGGGACTTTTACACAGCTTAACAACTAATTACAAAGTACCAAAACAAGAAAAGGAAAAAGCTAATTAACGAAGAAAATATTATACACATTGTAAGCCAAGTTTAATTATGAACTTTTTTCATTTAGTCTTGCAGCTGCAGCCACAGATGCAGCTACTCCACCAGGATAAGCTGTTAGGGTTGGATTATTCCGCAGCTCCGCCTCCATCACCCCTTGCGCATCTTGCCTTGTCGTTGCTTTATCAGCCGGTAATTTTGCAGCCGCGCCCTATAAAATGTTTGACATGTTTAAGATCACGAAATTTAATTAACCATAATGAAATTGCTAGTGTCTTAAAAGAGTTGTACAGTTAAGACATCGTTTAATTTGATTTTATCCACATCTTGAGCCAATCCTTCATTTGCCGATGCTGCTGATTGAGCTGTTGCAGCTAATCCTCCAGGGGTCACGACACTAGAACCGGTGGCTCTAGCTTCAGCCGCTTGTATAGCGGCTGCATCGCTCTGTTCCACCGGTTTCTCCCCTGCTGTAAGGGCTGTTGCCGCCAGAGCTTCTCCTATTGTTATAGGTGCTTCCTCCACATCTCCTCCTGTTGCTGCGGCTGCTGTTACTGGAAGAGGCTCAACATATTGCCCCAATACCTACAATTATCATTTCATTGTCTCAGCTAGCTAACACCTACGCAGCACATATAAACACTTAAATTTATATAAAAATTGACCTGTCCAGCAACTGATTCGGTAATTATACGTCTGCCGGGGAGTTTGGTTTCAGCCACAGTAATGCCTTCATCACCAGCAAGTTGAGTGGTAGCGTCATGACTAACATGTCCACTTCTTTCGTTTTTGGCGGCAGCAGCCTGCATAACAGAGGCAGGACCACCCTTTTGGTTTTTCCCAAATACCATGGCTTCAGCACTTTGCATCATGGCTGCATCTTGTGGTGCAATTGGTTGATCAGCTAAGTCACCTTTTACATTAAAACAGTCTCCGTATTTTAGGGGCTGCTCTCTTTCAGGCCTTTGAGGTTGATCTTGGCTCATTTTTTTTTTTTTTTGTGTGTCGATATGTGAGTGTATGCATTTCATCATGCTAAAGGGTGACATATATTTCGTTGTTTTTGTGTTGGAGATGCTCGAAGGATGACACGTGGCAGATCTGTGCAAACGTGGCGGACTACCTGGAAGCAGGAATGGTGACTCAGATTGGCAACTTTGAAATGTTCTTGAATAGTCGAGATAACTAAATTAAACGTGAAACTTTAGCCTTAATTGATCGCGATAAACAAAACCCAGAGTCTGCATACATATAGTTCTTATTTATGCTACTTGCGTCGTTCAAAATTGTTTGTCATGTTACGTTTATCAAAAATTAATTTGATCAATTTTTGAAGGTAAATTAAATCACATTAATTCAATATTTTAAACAAATAAATCAAAGATTTTAAAACTATATGAAAAATATTATAAATTACATTTCTTTAGCATATTAATATGAGGAAAAAATTCATCTTAAAATGTTACCCAAAATTTTTATAGTTTGACTCAAAAAATAGAAAATAGAAACCAGTACCGGACGAAGGGAGTATAGGTAACAACCAGGGTACAAGTTTCTTGGAGGCAATTGCAAGGAGAAAGCATAGCTAAACGACACAATATTTTCATACCAATACGAAAATTTACACAAGGTCATCATTCGAGCTAATGTTTTTCGAGTCCTTTGGGTTTATTATACTCTAAAACTTACGCGGAACACCAAGAGTTTGGTCACTACTGTCTAGGAGGCAGGAGCCCCACTGCTTACCTCCAAACCATTTCCTGCAGATTGAGAATTACAAGTTATTGAATTGAAAACTTTGCCTGATCAAGTGCAGAACTGCAAAGAATTTGATACACTAGCATCGACATCAAGTTAAAGAGATTCAAAATTTAAGAGTATAAAGAACATCGGTTTTCTCATGTGTTCTTGTCTTCTGAGGTTGAGTATAGTCGTCCAATTTCATAAACTTCAAGACGCTATCACTTCCGAATCAATATGATATTAGCATAATAAACATAGAAGGGAAACCTCACCATCTGGATCAAAGAAAAAGGCTTGTTTGGTCTTGCCATCCGGTTGAGTCCTCTCATGAACTTCAATTCCGTTATCCTACATAACAAAGTTTTGAGAAAAGCAGTTATCTATTAGTCATGGATAACCCAGAATTGAGAAAGAAAAGAGACTAAACTTCCATCGCTAAAGGACTAATTTTCAATTGCTTCACTTCACCTCATTATAAGAAGAAGTTGATGCTTTTGTTTCAACTACTTAATGGTCAATACAAATAAAACAAGTGGAACAGCTCCAGCCCCTTGAGAAACCTCAAAGATGCAACAATTAACCAACATTTCTTCATATCCTTTCACAAACTCATTCAAAGGAACCTCGTTTACACAACTATATTTTCAAATTGGCAATACAAGAATTAACATCACCTAGAAAGGTAAAAGGGAAAGTAATGGATAAAAAGATGCCAAAAATCATAATGACACCAACACTTTGACATCAGGGCAAAATACCAACCCTATGAACTAAGCTCCCGCTGTACGCCTGGTATCAGGGGATGGGTCGGACCACAAGAGTCTATTCTACGTAGTCTTAGTTGTTTCCACAACTTGAACCATTAACCTCCACGTCACATAGAAAAAACTTTACTAGATACGTCAAGACTCTTGTTCAACACTTAGACATCCCTTTTAACATAATCATTCAGGAAATACCAAAAATCTAGTACTCAATAATCCAATTCTACTGAAGCTAACATTTTCTTTTAATCATAGTAAACAATTAATTTAGGGTAATTTTAAACAGAAATTAAAATTGAAAACAGCAACAGCTCTTCCATAATACTTATATCAAACCCCCCGAAAAAAAATTAGCCACATAAAACTTTCTAAAGAAACTGGAAGAGGATTAAAATCAACCTTGAGCTTCTGAACAAAGGAATCGAAATTGGAGATGGTGAAGCAGACATGGTGACCTCTGGGCAGATTCTTCGGGTCAGCGATGGCTGACGTGGCACTCCATGGACCTTCTGGAAGCTTCGTAGTCGGGTCTCTCTCGATAAGGTGAAGATAAAAGGACGGTGCCAGCTTCAACCATATCACATCAAATTCAAATCTTGGAGCTTCAACTTTCTGAAACCCAAATATCTGCAAACCCATTTTCATCAAACAATCAATTTTACTCTAATTTAAACAGAAAAAATCATAACACTGATATGATTTATGAAACTTAAGTAACGAAATTTAATGCGTTATCAAAACCTCAATGTAAAATTGGGCTAGGCGTTTGATATCAGAGGATTCTCTGGAGACGTGATTAAGGCAAGTTCCTTGAGCTGCCATTTTTGTTCTTGTTTGTGTTGAAGAGAATTCAAGTAGAATTTTGCTACCCATTTAAATGGATATTTATTTGGGAAAACTACCTTAAACATATTTTTAGATAATTACCTATTTTATCATTAATAAGTATTTTTTAGGAAGAATTTCAAAATATGGCAAACATTTATATATATTTTAAGAAAATAGTTATGTTCTATTTTTTTCATGTTATATTGATATAATTAGATTATAAATAAAAAAATTAATGTATGCAAATAAATATTTTTTATATATTTAATATAATAAATAAATAATAAATAGGAAAGTAATATAATTGGATGTCTAAATAATTATGACAGACACATCTGTAATCTTTTTTCATATTTACTATTATCAAGTTTTTTTCTTTTATTAATATTCATACATCACATATTTTATGCCCCATCCCTCTCCAAATTCATTCAAATTCAAGATAGTTTACATCATCGTAGGAGCGATTTTTGTGATTTTGTATCCATTCGGTACTTATTAATTACATATTTATCTCGTACTTATACAATTTGATACCCATAAATTGTATTTTTTTGTTCGTTTGTCTAATGTATCCATACTTATACCGTTTGATACCCACAAATTGTATCTTTTTTGCTCATTTGTATAGAGTATCCATATTTTTGCTTAACAACACTGTTGAAATGTATCCATATTTATACACATAGATACTTGTAGTATTATACAAGCACAAGTTAAAATGTTGATTTACGAAGACAATTATATCTAGATATATAAGTAATATATCCAAGAAAAAAATTTGAAACGAGAATATAAGTATAATTGTGTCCAACGTATTCATTTTTTGGTTTAACTAAAATGTATTCGTTGTACTTTATATTGGTGTATTCATTTTTTTGCTTAACAACTAGTGTATCTATTGTTATGTAGTTCACCTATTCAAAATCGAAATACTTAACCTTCATTCACAAATTCAACAAGTTGCTTACAACAATAACTTGAATTAACAAAAAAAATATAAATACCTTTACGACGATAAAATAAGAATTATGAAGACAACAAGAAAATTGAGTATGATGTATCACAATTTTTGTTAAACTGCTAAAGAATATGATCTGACATGTCTTTAAATAATTAATTTTTAGTTATAAAGTTAATTATGGGAAGTTGCTCATTGTATGAACGCGATGTAAGGATAGGGGGTTATATTTAGAGTCAAATCCTTTTATAGTTTTTTTGTATTTAAAGATGTATTAGCATATAAATAAAAGAAATAAAAAACTATACAAAAATACAGCTAAAAAGTGATATAAATTATAGTCATTTATTGTAAATTAAATATTTATAGTTATTGGTATTCATTAACCCTATAAATATAGTTATTTTTGTAAGTTGCTCTATTTTTTAATCGTATAGAGGATATTTATATGAGAAAATTACGACGTTTAGCAAACTTATACTACTTAATTACTCATCATAGTTATAGTTTACTATAATTATCACTTGCGACTAACATTATGCTAATTACGTAGGCTGACTTCGAGTTTATATAATTAGTCACGTTTCTATATGCATAATTCATCAGAATATACAAATACATATGTATAATATACAATTATCTAACCGATATACATATACAATTTACCTCTCATCCATTTTGTGCCCTCTCGCGCTTGCCTCTCTCCTCCCTCTCCCAATCTCGCTCGCCTCTCTCCTCCCTCTCCCAGTCTCGCGCCTCTCTCATCTCTTTCCCAATCTCGCGCCTCTCTCATCTCTTTCCCAATCTCGCTTGCCATATATATAAATGCATATGTATTATATACAATTATCTAATTGATATACATATACAAGTCAATTTTCTCCAGTCTCTCCTCTCTCGCTCACCTCTCTCCTCCCTCTCCTAATCTTGCTCGTCATATATACAAGTACATATGTATAATATCCAATTATCGAATCGATATACATATATAATTCACCTTTCTCCCACACTTTTCCCTCTCTCTCGCCTCTCTCCTCCTTCTCCCAATCTCACTCATCTCTCTAATCCCTTTAACATATAGCTGTAATTGTAATTATCAAATTTATAACTATGAAGAGTAATTAGACTATTTTTACGTGGTTATATGAAAAAATTCTTCTTTTTATATCTAACTACTGTTATTTTTGTTGTTAAAATACACTAAAATAAGGAGAGATGCGAATGAAATAGAAAAAAAAAAGAGATAGTAATATATCTCAAATACATGTGAATTATTAATCTTATTCACATGTACTTGAGATATCGTATGTATTAGGACAGGGAATGCTATTTTTCTACTAGATGTCGTATCTTGTAAACATATTCCGAATTAGGTCTGCTGTTGTATTGACTATTGTCGTATAAATACTTTTGTATGTACCAAAAATAAATTTTTGGGTACTTTTGTTCCTTTGTATAGATAAATAGAACATTGTTTGCTTTGGAAAAAGAATACTTTTTCTCCAACTTTCTGAAATGAAAAGTAAACGAATTTCATTCTCTATAATTTCAATTGCAAGATTTTTTTTTATCATATTTCCTTTTTTTTAAAAAAACTATAGTAACTAATGGACTCATCTTATTTTTATTTATCAACATAGTTTGACTAGGCACATAAAAGAGAGAATAATTTTTATGTTTGACTAGGCACATAGAAGAGAAAATAATTTTTTCATCATTAGATCAATTTATATCAAAATTATTGTGTATTATATAAGCACATCACTAAAATTTATGTTGTAG